GTTCAGGTTCAGGTCTGGAAACAGGCTGTTGTTTCCTGAAGGAGGCATGATGGGCAGCATGTCGTCCGGCTCCTGCTTCATTTCTTTACGATGGAAGTCTGTTGGATCTCGAGGGTCCGTGTTGTTGTTGTTGTTGTTCCCGTGGTTCCCGTTGGCGTTGAGCACGTCGCTGAGGCCCAGCTTGGAGTCGAGCGGGGAGCCGGTGTTCTCCAGACACGCCTTCTTGTTGGGGGGGAAGCCGTCGCTGAAGCCATTCCCCGGGGAGCCGGCGCTCTCCAGCTTCCTCTTCACCGTCTCCTGCAGCTGTAGAGGGTCAGAGGGCAGAGGTCATTACAACACACACACACAGGTGAGACACACAGAGGTCATTACAACACATACAGGTGAGACACAGAGGTCATTACAACACACACACAGAGGTCATTACAACACACACAGGTGAGACACACAGAGGTCATTACAACACACACAGGTGAGACACACAGAGGTCATTACAACACACACAGGTGAAACACACAGAGGTCATTACAACACACACAGAGGTCATTACAGAGAAACACTTCAATACATAAATACAAAAAAATGTCTAAAAAATAAGTAAAATTTGGCGATGAAATAAACAAATCCTAAAAAAAAGAAATGAAGCAATCAGCATATAACTACCTGTAAATATAATTAAGGTGAAGTAGAAAAAAACATAGCATAATACTGACTAATTTATATATGTATTGATGTATATTATGAGTTAAATTCATAGTAGTTGTGTCATGTGCTTGATGAAATGGGGTTATCTGGGGGTCCTGAGAAACAGCTGTTTGATCGAGTTTCTATTTGAGAGTCCTGTCATTTCTTTAGCCTGCAGACCATAACGAGAACACAAAGAGACCCTCAGAGCGTCAGCAGATCTGTGACCACCAGCTGATCCTCACACTACCAGAGAACACCACATGATACCTGTTAGTCTGAGGGAGGAGGAGTGGACAGGTGAGACTTTCTCTCTGGCGTTTACAAACATGCGAGACACAATGCACCTATATGAGATGATCCTATAGGCTTTGAGTATTCTATTTTTCTTATTTTAATATTGTTGTATAGCCTACATATACAGTGTTTTGTATATGTATACATATACCATTGTATTGGCGGCTGGCAACTGAAGTAATCTATCTGCGGTCACTTTTCACATTGAACATGTGCTCTTTTATTAAAGGTCCCATGTCATGCTCTTCTGGTTCTGACCCGTCCCCTTGTGTTCTGTAGCTTCTGCATGTAAACGGTCTGCAGAGTCACAAACCCTCAAAGTACACCCTGTAGCGAGTAAAACTCTAACACAGAAAAGACCTGTCTATGCTGCCCCAGAACGCCAGAACAAATGACCGGATTGGCCCAAATGGACCAATCCGCTGAGCCCCTCACACACCAGGATCCCTTGGCTAACTAATGGCGCATTTCCACCGCAGGCCTCGCTCGACTTAGTACGGTTTTGTTAGGCCTTGCTAGGACCGGCTCACTTTATGCTGCGTTTCCATTACAGTTTAGGAACTGGGGTAGTATCTATAGTAACGCAGTGTAGGCGGAGCCGTGACGTCATCTTCAATGAGAACCCCAGAAAAACAACACAGCCGTTAGCTGTTAGCACTCAGAGCTCACAGCTCCTCATATATGTTCAGAAACTCGACAAAAGTTAAACAAGTACACACCACAGACTGCCTGTGTCATGGTGAATACAGTCGCTGCTTTATTTATGTCTGTATAGGCCGTTGTTGTGAGTGTGGACGGTCGGAGCATATACTGCGTTAGCTTAGCCAATCTCCATTTAGAAAACACGCATTTTAAAAGGTTTTTCGCCTGCCGTCTGTCTGCAGACTTGACAAAGCATTAATTCATGGTTTTTACTAACCGGTATCAGTATGTTGTTACTTCGGCATCATTTTGAAACGTGTATTACAATTAAATCACGGTCAAATATGTCCATCTTGTTGTAGTTGTAGCCCCCTTGCCAGCGATTCTCTCTCTAGTTTAGCAAACTCAGCCTCGTTGTTGGCCCCGAAAGAGGCACCACCCCCCCGGCCAGGCACCAGAAACAACAAAGAGACACAAATAAACTACAAAGACAAAGAAACTACGAAGTTGAATGTAATCTGATCTAATTGTTGGAGTGAACTTAAACCTATGATTGCAGACATGAAAAACACATACATGTATTAGAAGGGGCTAACTTCAGGGCTGCTTCTTTAAAATAGACGGTCTGCCCTGATACAGAATAACAGAGCAAACACTGAGCTGCTTCCTCTATCAGAGCATCCCCCACAATGCACCAGTTTCAGAGTGACTCTGCTCTGAAGAATGCAGAGAATTTCCTGATGATCTGCAGCAGAGCATCAGGAGAGAGAGAGAGAGCTGCTCAGAGGCGTCTCACTGACTGTAAACACTGACATTTATACATTCAGACAATTCATAATAATCCTTATATTTAATATAGCGCTTTTTCAATTACCCTCAAAGCGCTCCTTACAGATACACATTACACATCATACATACATGTAATGGTCATGTCAGTGTTTCCCCTATATACAAATAGCGGCGGCGCAGCTATATAATTAAAATAATAATAGGTGGCAACCCTTTTTCATTTTTGATTGTTTGTTATGTGGATTTGTAGTATTTGTGTTACTGTATGTTCAATAAAGGTGTATTTTTGCTAAATCTTGAGACATTGCCACTGTATATACTGGCAGGGTCGATTTTTGGCATAGGCGGTCGCCTAGGGCGCCAGATCTGGGGGGTCGCTGCGCTGGTAGCTCTGGGAGGCGAAAAAACATTTTTGACCGTTGGCGCTCATCCTAATTTTCGGCCTTGATGTAACAACATTCATAATTAAGTAAATGTAACACCCTTTTCACCCCGGTTACACTTTTTATTTGCCCTGTATGATGGGCGCTGTAAGTGATGAACAGCTCACAGCCAAAGTGCGAGCGTGGGAGCGAGAGAGCGAGAGAGGGCGCACCGGTACCAGCGCTGTTGTTATTAGCACCTGGTGCTAGCTGCGCTAACGGATATAAGAAGTAGATGTTTCTACAACCAGGGTGGAGGAGAGCTCTCCTGTCAGACTGAGAGGCTCAGGGAGGTAAAGGACTCTCTGAGGGTTTAGATAGTTCACTTTAGTCTAAGTTATCTCAGTGGGTCTCAAACGGTTTGACCACAAATTATGTAAACACATATTTCCAAGGCACTCCTTTATAATTATTATGATAAATAAAAACAGGTTTGAAATCATTCCAGTGTATACTATAGGACAGTAAACCAAAAATATCGTTTACAGTTGGAGAGATACAAAAATATGCATAAATAAATAAATGTTAACTGGTAAAATAAGATATGAATGAACAACAAAAATAAAATAAGTTACATGTATTTGTTATTGGCTATGGGTTATTGGTTATGTTCACATACTTATTTGATTATTAAAATGTAAACCGATCTTTTCCATATGGGTGTTTTAGAGTTGTACCCCCTAGATCAGGTCTCTAGTAATTGTGTGCTCAAATGCGGCTTTCACACCGGCGCTTTTCACTTTCTAGCTCCTCGCGAGAGCTTTTCTGGTTCAGCTCCCCGTTTCCCTTTTCAGCTCCCGCTCTGTTCACACTGCCCAGAGCTGCCGCTGCTGCGTCATGACGTCACAGTTTACGTCGCTGATTTTCTCCCACAACAACAACGGGCCGGGGACTGCATCGGGTCGTGTTGCTTTTAATCATACGAAGCCAGATTAAATTAAATAACGACTTCTCCAACCTTATACTTTTCTCCAGAGTGCCGTGGTTCATTGTTTATTAATGTGTTTCAGCGGCATTTACCGACCGCTGCAGTGGCTGCACTTCCACGGGAGTTTATTCTCCCGTTAGCTCCGGGTTAGCTCACACGGCTCTAAAGTATTCACTGTCTGACTGTCACACAAGCAGCTGATACATATCCCCAGTTCCCCTTAAGTGAATGTGTGTCAGTCTGAATTGACGCTGTTTGGCATCACAACGCTGTTATGAAAGTTTCTCTGGTATAACATGGGTGATGTTAGCATAGCAACCGAAGCTAAACTGACTACTTGCTAAGCCGTTTTCTATAGGCACATTTTACCGGCGTATTTTTCATTATGATTCTACTTCTGATAGTCGGACATGACAACCTGTATAGCCCATGTATCTCCACAATGATCAATAACAGCGAACGGATGGTCAAAGTAAGGTTTCCTGCACGCCTCGACGTAAGCGACGCCGCGTCATAGCTCCGAAGCTCTTGCCTCTGGACCGACAATTTTTTGGAGCTGGAAGTGAACCGCTTTCTGGAGCTATGACGCGCCGCCGCTGCGGTGTGAACAGGAAAAACCGGCGCTTTTCAGGCTCTAGCTCCCAGCAGGAGCTGGAAAAGCGCCGGTGTGAAAGGGGTAAAAGTGCACCAGATAGAAGCATTTTACTTTAAAATACCCCCGGACCCCCCTAGAGGATGTGACGTCCACCCCCCAATTCAAACATGTTCATACAATACTGAATACATTTGAAGCCATTTTGACGTATATTACCTATGTCAATAAGTTTCTGTTTTTGTAGTGTATTTGTCTTTTGTAGAGATTTTTCATTTCTTCTTTATATATGAAATCTCGCCTAGGGCAGCAAATAGTCTAGAACCGGCCCTGGTGCTAGGCCTCAAGAGCCTTTCCTGTGCTGGCAGACACATAGAAACAAATTGGCGGGGCGCACTTCGCACGCGCACACACTAAAAAAATTACACGCGCTCCGCGCTCACATTATGCTGGGCCCTTAGCACCGCTGCTATGACTCCATCCTAGGGGAAACACTGCATGTACTGTGGACAATACCCACAGGAGCAAATTCAGGTGAAGTGTCTTGCCCAAGGACACAACGGCTTTGCAGACGCAGCGGGTTTCGCCCCCTTGATCTGATAATCAATGCACAGCGCCACACCGCCCATCTTCACACCTCCAAGTCATCGAGGCGCTTTACAAGTACACATTGATATCATACATGTACTGTGGACAATACCCACAATTAAAATGCCTTCACTGCAATTTAACTGTTTGGAAAAACTCACATTTCTCATACAGCATCTCTGTATAGTATGTGTATTCACTCTCTGTCCTACACGCCTTGTTGGAGCTCCTGCCCCCCCCTCCCTCTGATTGGTCAGCTCGCCCACTCTGTTCTGATGAGTCCACCACCGTTACAGTGGAACATCAGTGATTATGTGTTACAATGGCGTTTGTTAGCAACCAGAAAATGACACCAGTGATG